TTAAGAAGATAAGTTTTATACACACACACACACACATATGCTAAGTGAAACAGGCAAAACTAAGAGTCAGTAACAGCTGCCATTAAAAATTTAAACTATATATAAAGGACTCATGGGCAAAGCCAAAGGAGGGTAGGATCAAGGGTGGGAGGTGGGGGGTGAGGTAGGGGGTATTGTGGGGAAAAGGGAGACAACTGCACTTGAACAACAATTAAAAATAATTAATTGATTTTTTTTAATTTAAAATATAAAATGAAATTCTTTATCTATGTAAATGCAAAAAACAATCCAGGAGGATACCTATCTGTTGACAGGGGCCCTTACGGGAAAAGAACAGAATTAAGGTTAGGTATGTAAAGGGGGAGTTTTAATCGTCCATAAATTTGTTTCTCTCTCTTTTCCCTCCCTGCATCCCTCCTTCCCGTCTACCTCTTTCTTGCAATCGTGAGAGTAATCTGAAGGGCCCTTGTAAATCATGAAGTCAAATGTGACTTACAGTTTTCCCACTTGGGCTCCTGAGGATAAACAGTCTCCATGGTTTTAGTAAAATCAGAAATGAAAGGAGCATAACAGAGGCTGACTACCTTAACACCAGGAAAAAAAGAGAGTTAACATACCCATTTAACCCTCCCCACCTGAGCCCTCAGTGTGTGAAAGCGAAACTTTTGAATGGGATGACCTCAGCATCAGCTGCTCTAAGGCCGATAGGGAGATCCCATTCCCTTTCCACAAGACTGAGTCAGGGATAAGGACTACAACCCAGGTGTCAGTTCTCCCTTCTCCATCTCCTGTCCACCTCCTGTCCCTAATTACTCCATCCAAAGTGGTTCAACTGTAGCAAAGCTCAGAATTCTCCTTCCCTGGTATGGGAAAGAATACTTTTGCTCCTGCTAGATGTGAAGAAAGAAACATAAAGCATGGTGGCTACACAGTCATCTTACAACCATACAAGAAATCACCTTAAAGATTAAGCACCTTCATGACTCCTTCATGGAAGAAGGCCGAGCACAGGGCCAGAAAAAGTCAGAGCTCTAACTGAACTTGTCCCAAGGTCACTCTACCTTAGGCTGTGTCAGTTAACTAGGCTAATAAATAACACTTTGTTGCTAAAGTCAGTTTCATTTGGTTTTTCCATTAGCTCCGACTGAAAGCATTCCTGCTGATAGAACGAAGTAAAACCTAATGCCTATTCTTAATCTGATTATTTGAAGTCTGCATAGAATTCAGTTTTCTTTATCTATCTGCATTAATAATATATTCCTATTGATATTGGTATCCCTATTGAATATTAACTATTCCCTACTGATGACAGGTCGCTTGCAAACTTTATCACAAATAATGTTCAATGAACTCCCTTGTGTGTACCTTTAGACATTCACATTATTATTTCTATCAGACAGATTCTTAGGTATGAAATTATTAGGTCATAGAGTACTCCTTCCCTGCCTGCCTTCTCACTGTAAATTTTCCAGAACCCTGAGAGATAAGACAAGCCAAAGAAGCCTACACAGAAAACCAAGAAAACTTCTACAGAAGTTGCATTATAATAAGCCTTTGGGGAGGAATTTCAGACTGACAACTAAGAAAAGACGGCTTACATCACCCGCCACTCTCACAACAACACTTTGGTCAAAGAACAAACATCCATGAAGGGCTTATGGGTAGACTATGGGCTGCCATATGTAACTCAATAACTCAAACTAACTTTCCAGTGTTAGAGATAGATTAAGTTGCTGGTATTTGACTTCAGTGTTAATGAACAATTATCTTCATGATCACCATCAGTACTGTAGCCATTCATATCAATATTCTACCTTTTTTTCTCTGATTACTTATCCAGTGGGTCACAATCTTTGATATACATTATCTGGGAAAGACAGCGCCTCTGTTTTCTGACTAGCTCTCCTCCAATAATCTTACCTCCACCTTGCTCCATTCATTTGTTTACATGAGGATATCATTTCACTACCAGTGACTGAATCCTTCCATAATCTCAGTTCCAAGCATCTCCCTCTCCAATCAGCATCTCCTATTTTTCAAGTTCATTCCCTCTAGAAACTCAACTCAAACAATCTTTTGAGCCTACTGGGACCTATACTCCAATGATCTTAGTACCTTTTCACTCTGCTCACTCTGGGGTAGTCTTTATTTCCTCCTTGGCCCGTTCTTCTTTTTCTTTTTTGTTCTCCAAATACAGTTGACATTCAGTTGTATAAATACAATTATTTTATATAAGTTTCAGGTGTATAGCACAGTGGTTAGACATTTATATAATTTACAGACTGATCCACGGTACATCTAGTACCCACCTGGCACCATACATTGTTATTACAATATTATTGACTATATTCCTTACACTGTACTTTACATCCCTGGGACTATTCTGTAACTACCAATTTGTACTTCTTAATCCCTTCATCTTTTTCACTCAGCCCCACAACACACCTCCTCCCTCTGGCAACCATAACTCTGTTCTCTGTATCAATGAGTCTGTTTCTGTTCTGTTTGTTCATATATTTTATTCTTTCGATTCCACATATAAGTGAAATCACACAGTATTTGTCCTTCTCTGTCTGACTTGACTTAGCATGATATCCTCTAGGTCCACCCAGGTTTTCACAAATGGTAAGATTTCATTCTTTTTATAGCCAAGTAATATCCCATTATATATGACTACATCTTCTTTATCCAGTCATCTTTCCCTTGACTAGTTTAAATTAAAAAGTTGTAATCATTTCCTTACATATTCCCTTCACTTCATTGCCCATCTCTGGCTTCTTTATTCTCTCTTGACAACACTCTAACCCTGATTAAAAACAAGTTCTCTACTGACTCTGCGTCTGTTGCTATGCAGGTAAACGAATGTAGCAGGTGAAAAACACAACCATGACGACTGGTCTCACCTCAAATCTGTGACCGGCAACCTCAAGTAAGCCCTTACTCTTCCTAGTAATTCTACAACTTTTCACTAACCTATTTACTATCCTCACCTTCTATTTCATATCTCCTCCTTTCTACTCAAACCTATCATATCTCTTTCCCCATCCTCACTCTCAACTGATGATCTTGCTTTACATTTCACTTAAGCAGTCAACTATACAGACTCCCACCCTGGTAAAAGCGGAACAGAAACAGACATAGATACAAAGAACATTTTGACATTTGCCAGATGGGAGGGGGTTGGGAGAACAGGTAAAATAGGTGAAGGGACTAAGAAGCACAGACTGACTGCTACAGAATAGTCACGGGGATGTAAAGTGCAGCATAGGGAATATAGTCGATAATACTCTGATAACTATGTATGGCATCAGATGGGTACTAAATTTATTCGGATGATCACTTAGTAAGTTATATAATGTCTAATCACTGAGTTGTACACCTGAAACTAATATAATATTGTATGTCAACTGTAATTGAAAAATTAAAAATGATTTAAAAAAATAAAAGTAAAAACTCCTACCCTGAAATTTATTCATGTAAATGCATCTATGTCAACATACCCTACTTTGATGGTTAATTTCATAGTGTCCATTTGAATGGGTCACTGGGCGCTCAGATACTTAGTTAAACATTGTTCTGGGTATGTCTGTGATGGATGAGATTAACATTTAAAGCAGTAAACTGAAAAATGTCCTCCCCAACATGGGGGAGCCTCATCCAATCTGTTGAAGGTGTGACTAGAACAGGAAGTCTGAGTAAGGGAGAATTCACTCCACCTGACAGTCTTGAAGCTGGGACATCAGTCTTCTCCTGACTTTGGGCTCATATTTAGACTGAAACGTATACCACTGGTTCTCCTGGTTCTCAGGCCTTCGGACTTGCACTGGAACTATACCATTAGCTCCTAGGTCTCCAGCTGGCCAACTGTGGAATGAATACATCAAACACACACACACACACACACACACACACACACGAATATACATAAAAATATATAGGAATATATATTTATATATATATATATCTCCATTTCCACTTTTTCTATGGTCTCTTAAACCTACTCTCCCACTCCACCAAAAGGGCTCATATCAAGGTTACAAATGCCCTTCATGTTGTCAAACAATACAGTCAATTCTCAACCCTTATCTAGGTCAATGCATCAGCACAAGTAGTCACACCCACCTGCTTGAAACACTTTATTAGGCTTCTGTTACAATTCTTGCTTTTTCATCTACATCAGTAAGAATTCCTTCCCAGTATCACTTACTGGTCCTTCCTTAACTCTCCTATCTCTAAACATCACAGCATTCCAGATTCAGGCAACAGATCTGTTCTTTCTCTTTCATCTACGTTCACTCTCTTGGAGATCACATCCAGTTGGATGGCTTTAAAATTATCTATAGCACACAGACGACTTGCAAATGCATATAAACAGTCTAGACCCGTCCTCTATACAACTACATCGAATCTGAGACTGCCCTACCCATCCCGACCTCCAACTCCCTAAAAATTAACATACCAAAGTACCCTGACTTAAAGGCTGGTAGCAACCTCTTCCATGGGGAGTAGTACTTTTACATACTCAAGCTATCCGGAAAACAACTAAGATTCAGCCAGGAAAACACACACACGCGCGCGCGCGCGCGCGCACATTAAAGACTGAATGGTTTCAACTTATGAAATCCAACATATTTTGCCAAATTACACATAGCAAGTTATTTCCCTCGACTGTGAGGCGTAAATATGGAGTGGCTCAATTTCTACAGCAGTATAGAAAGCATGGTAAAGACAGTCTCCTAAGGGCCATCAGTCGCACAAGCTGGGGGCTGGAGAGACCCGGAAGCACACTCCTGACCGACAGAAGCTCCGCGAAGGCCTGGAGGTGATCGGGGGCCCTTTTCCGCGGTGCTCGGGAGGTGGACAGAAGAAAGAGGATGTCTGTTTCTAAGGAATCGCCAACACACCGCCCAGGGGGACTGAGCACCTCCAGTGTCGGAGAAGCCTCGAGTGATGCCCTAGGGTCTGAAGCTGGCGTTAGAGGGGTGGGGAGGACACGTTACCCTGAGAAGAGCCAGTTCAACGGGTCTCCTTCAGTTGGACGACTTGCGGAGCGCCATGACAGCACGGCCTGGAACCCAGGCATCCAGGCTACATACCAATTCAACAGACTTCGTTCCCGCGCTCCCGACTGCACGCTGGAGCGTCACGGCGCACACAGTACACCTCAGCTGTGGGAGACCAACCTCCCCACCCCTTCCTCCAGGGTTCGCCCCGCCCGCCTCCGCCGCTCGGCCGGGTTGCAGCCCTCCCATCACAGGCCACCTGGCTTGGCGGTGCGCATGCGCAAGGACTCTCGCTGCTGCTGAGCACTCCGGGAATTGTAGTCTCGGAGCAGGTGCCATGGGCCGCGAGAGTCCTACATCCCGGCAAAACCTGGAGAAGTCAGAACACTCTCGCCACCCCCGATCCTGATTCCCGTCTTCACACCTGTCCGGTCACCTCGCGTTCACGAGCTGGGCTTCGGTCGGGCGCGCCCCAAGGGAGAACTCGAGACCCGGTCTTCCCATCCGTGGGCTGTGCTGGAGGAGGCGGGGTCCACTGCCCGCCCCCCGCCGCCACCCTCCCCGCCTTCCACCCCCCTCCCCGGCCGGTGTCGGACCGGTGCCGGGAGAGAGGAGGCGGCCCCCGCAGCGGCCGCAGGAGGGGCGGCGGCTGTGGGCGCCGCGGGCGATGCCCCTGCCGGGCTGCTCCGGCGCGGGGCGGTGCGATCGGCGACGGCGGGGGAGCAGGCGGGGGGCGGCGGCTGCAGCAGAGGGGCCGAGAGCTGGCGGCGGCGGCGGTCGTGAAGGGCATCGGCGACGGCGGTGATGGCAGTGCTGATGTGAGTGTCTGCCGGCTGGGGACCCCGGGGCTCCCGAGCTCGAGGGGGGCGCCCGGCGGCAAGCGGGAGCGGGAGGCCAGGAGCGGCAGAGGGATGCTGAGCGCGCGGTGCAGAACTGGGTCTGTCGCTGGCCGCCGCCGACCCTCCGGCTGGGGTAGGAGCTGGGCGCTGGAGCGGCCGGCGCCGTGGGAACAGAGCCCGGCGCGGGGGTCCCGGGCAGAGGCGGGGGCGGTGCAGGCCGAGGGGCGTCTGCGATTGTTCTCAACACCCCTCCCCCACCCCGCCCCGTGTGTCTGTTTGTCACTTGCAGCTGAAGATGGAAAGAGCCAGGCGAAGGGGAGGCGGCGGCGGCCGCGGAGGCAAGAATGTGGGGGGCTCCGGCCTAAGCAAGAGTAGACTCTATCCCCAGGCCCAGCACTCCCACTACCCCCACTACGCGGCTTCAGCCACCCCTCATCAGCCTGGGGGCGCAGCCGAAATCCAGGAGCTGGCCTCCAAACGAGTGGACATCCAGAAAAAGAGGTTTTACTTAGACGTGAAGCAAAGCTCCCGGGGCCGGTTCCTAAAGATAGCTGAAGTCTGGATCGGGAGAGGCCGGCAGGACAATATCAGAAAGAGTAAATTGACCCTCTCCCTGTCGGTGGCAGCGGAGCTGAAGGACTGTCTAGGGGACTTCATCGAGCATTACGCCCACCTGGGCCTGAAGGGCCACCGGCAAGAGCATGGCCACGGCAAAGAGCAAAGCTCCAGGAGGAGACAGAAGCACTCGGCACCCTCTCCACCAGTCTCCGTGGGGTCCGAGGAGCACCCTCACAGTGTCCTCAAAACAGACTACATAGAGAGGGACAATAGGAAATATTATCTGGACCTAAAGGAAAATCAGCGGGGTCGCTTCCTAAGGATTAGACAAACCATGATGCGGGGGACTGGCATGATAGGTTATTTTGGCCACAGTTTGGGCCAAGAACAGACTATTGTCCTTCCAGCACAAGGAATGATTGAGTTTCGTGATGCCTTGGTTCAGCTCATTGAAGACTATGGTGAAGGGGACATAGAAGAACGAAGAGGGGGAGACGATGACCCACTTGAACTTCCAGAGGGGACTTCTTTCAGAGTGGACAATAAAAGGTTCTACTTTGATGTGGGCTCTAATAAATATGGAATTTTCCTGAAGGTAAGTGAGGTGAGGCCACCTTACCGTAATACTATTACTGTTCCATTCAAAGCTTGGACAAGGTTTGGGGAGAATTTTATCAAGTATGAAGAAGAGATGAGGAAAATATGCAACAGCCATAAAGAAAAGAGAATGGATGGCAGAAGGGCCAGTGGTGAAGAACAAGAATGCCTCGACTAGAGTGAAATTGAACTCCATCAGGCAAAATTTAAAATCATAAATTGGCCAAAAGTACTGATCCATAATCATTTGAAGAAGTTTTTCCTCTTTTTTGGCCCTGTGTTATTAGTAATACCTCTATAGTTTATACTTCAAGGAGTCCGATTCTCATGTTATGTTATACATAGAACACTAATTCGTATGGGAATTCCCACCTTCCCAGAGCTAAATAGTTTAGCTGCTTCATCTGCTCCAGACTATTGAAGTATGCAGATCAGCACAAAATGTGACATTCTGACCTTCTAAATACCATAACTAAGATTTACATTGCACTATGACATAATCCTGAAAAAAGATACATATACTTAATATGGAAGTGTGAATTACTATTAATGAGTTCCCCCAAAAAGTATCCCATTTCTACTTGTTAAAAGCTGCTAAGCTTACCTGTAGGACAGTTACCACAGAAACAGAAATTGACCTCAAGTATAGTGTAAATATATTTATTTATAAAAGTACAAGTAGAAATAGATTAATTATCCATTGGATAACTGAATATTAAACAGTACCATTAAAGTATCAAGTCTTAGAGTTACTGTAGTATTCTATAATTTCAAATTTTGTGGTAACCCTACAATTTATAGTTGCCCTATCAAAGTCATGGGAGAGTTTTAATTTATTATTCTAAGTCACAATCAATCCCATCTTCACTTGTGTTTATTGTATCATATATTTTTATTGACTTTCCAAAGTTTCAGGAATTCCTTTTATGTCACTCTTGAGGAGGAAGCCTCATCCTGTGGCTTTGCCATGGAAATCTTGGTGTTTTAGCTTTCTGTGCTAATTTGAAGGTTATGAGAGGTTTTTTCCCCCAAAATATATCATGGACTTGAGGTGTTATATTTTATGCTTCTCCTTTAACACTATTTCAGAGGGGTTGGTGCACCAGTTCACTGATATAAAAATACATCTGTAATAATATATTTTAGTAGCACTTTTGCAATTGCTACCCTTAAAACTGAGTCAACAGTTCCAGTATAAACCTGACTTTTACAGATGTTTTAATTTCAGGGCGGGGAAAGGATTTTTCTAAAAAGCATTTAGAATATAAATTTTCAGACTGGGAAAAGTATTATTTGAAGATTGGTTATAAATATATTTGAAAGGAAAATTCAGGCATTTTCCAAGGTGCTCTTTATAATACTTAACAAGGTTTACTTTACACAAGACTCACCCATTTACATGTATTAAAAATTACTTTCCAGGAAGTGCCACAGCAATTTTTCAACACCTAAGCTTTTTTAAACAAGTGGTTATAGTGTCTATGTGTACCAACCCACCCTGTATTAACTGACCAAATCTTTATCTGTTGAGCTCCATTTTATTCTGAATGAAATTACTGTCTGATCTTGGTTTTGTTCCCCTCCCATACAATAAATCCACGTAACTTGTTTAAGGGCCAGGCACTGATTTCAACCCCCAAATATAGCTCTCATTGATGAGAGCTGGCTGCATGGATTGAGATCAGGATATAGCTCTCCTTTTATATGCTATAAGTAACTCAAGTTTATTTTAACAATTTTTTTTCCTTCAGAGTTTTGTCCCCAAATACGTTTAAGTAAGGTCCCTAGGAAACTTTATGATATGAATTAAGAAAATTAATTTCACTGGTATGTGTTACTTAAAAACAAGCATTCAGTAACCCAGACCTATACGCTGGTGTTGGTTCGCAGATTGTATTTCACATTTCCTCAAGTAGTATGGAGGAATGTCATTAGTTCATTCTAATTGTGGACCATCTGGATCACTATGGAACAACTGAAGGTTAGAAGATAATGTCAGTACGGGAGTTAATAGCACATGGTGGGTGTTGAGACCCTAAAAGTAGCACGGCTCTTCAAACAGTCCTGACTGTAAGAAAACTATTGTAGGCTTGATAAAAGTAGTTTTGGGTATATAAAGGAGTGGTGTGCACTTGAATTACTGTACTACTGATTGTTATTGCTGCCCATCATAGTGCCTATGAATAATAACCAACCTGTCAGATTTTTGGCAAACTGGAGCTGTGAATATTCCAGCATTTCAGTGTTCCTATCACTATTACCGTGACTGTATACTCTCTCTTAAAACCTTCCCTTCTAAAATATTTATATCCATTAAGTCTAAATGATTTCCTTTTTGGTTTTTAGTCTGATAATATTTAAGTGTGTGTTTATATATATACATATTTATGTATGTGTGTATATGTAATATATGTTATATATTACGTACACACACGATACTATTTCAGACATAAAGATAAATATCTTTAATTTATTGTATATAAATATGATTAGTTTAATTTTGCACTAGTTAAGTAAAGAATTAGTCAAGCAGCCAAATTTTCTACTTTGTACGTTGTATGTATACTTCAAAGTTTTTACCATCTCAAAGATAACAGATTGGATATAGATGCATATATACCATATATTACCGGCAATTGAATATACTTTAGAATCATTAAGCCTTTTGCCAGTCCTTTTGTTTCATTTTTCTCAGAATTAATGTATTCATTGAAAAATGAAATTATGCTCTGTTTTTTGATACATAAAATTCCCAATCAATCATTAGCCATAATCAACTAAGATCCAGTTCAAAACTCTGGTATTAGGACATGTATTGCCATGTATCTTATAAAATAAGCTACTATTCTTATCTGTGCAATATATACTTTATTTATTGTCATTTGTGACATAAATGGAGCTGTAAGTGTACATGGTATTCTTCAAAATAACAGGATCCCTGCCTTGAAGACAAACTTTTAAGGCAACCGGATGTTAGAAGTCAAAAAATGAGCATTAAAGTTAGTAACCAAAATTACTGTATAATTCTAAAACACTGATGATATTTGCACATAATAACCTAAGCTAATGTGGTAAAGACTCAAACTGTAATAATATAAGCTAATAGTATGAAATTTGGAAACGGGTTCCTCATAATAGTTGGCAGTGTGCTCCTAGCAATTGAAAGCAGCACTAATCTGTTGCTTATATGCAAGAGATGCAATGTATTATAAAAGTATTAACATTCTGCCACATTTTATAATTTTTCTTGTTAAAGCCCCAAATTGCCATGTCCCTTAAACTTGAGTCAAACACAAGCTTATTTGCACTAAAGAGCATGGCCAAAAAATAAATGACAGGGTGGAAAAGCTAGTTGGAACCTCTTGAAATAATTGGTTCTAATGGGAGAATTTCACATTTGTCTATTTGAAAGCTATATGATCCAGGCAGACAATCTGTCAGTTCACTAATTTAATAATGCACTTTACCTTTTGTATATATAAGATGTACATTTATGCCACTTGACAGGTGGGCTGTGTTTCAATAACTATGTAGTTAGAATCTATAGGGTGATCTCTTGCATGCATATGTTTGTGTTGGAACTGCTGTAGTAACAAGCTTCCATTAAATCAGTGTAATGGAGAAAGGTAGAAGATGCTTTTGAAATAAATCCCAATACATTTAACAAAGAATTTTAAAGTAGAGTTCATATTTGTATTTTTAAGGACTAGAATCAATTTTAAAAAAACCTATTTCTAACTCAGATTAATATTACAGTTGAGACTATGTTTAGTTGAGACTCCCCATAATACCCTGAAAGTTAATTTTGGGAATATGTGCTGACAAATTTTTTTTTGAATCATTCTGTTTCATTGTTGATATGTGTTCAAATAATTAATGAAAAGACAGTGCATGACTGTATTAGAATTAAAAGTGTGGTTGGCTCACATGGTATCATTATGAAAACACCCAAACTAAAGAAATAAAATTTCAAATTCAGGAAGGGCAAAGAGCCCAAGAACAATTGTTGAGTTAAATATATTATTTCAAAATGTGCAGAAGAACTAACTTTCACCAAACAAAAAGGGTATTGGGGGACTTAGTGTATCCTTTCATCCTTAAAAACTTCCTAAGATGTACATTTGAAAACTAGATAATTGTTGCTTAATAATAGGTTGTATGTACTTTACTAAGAAACACTGTGTACTAACAATTCATCAAGAGTATGCTATATTTACTGCATTTATTTTATATCTATGGATAAGAATACATCATAGTCATCCTATCTTAATATAATCATGTGTTTATATTGTAATTTTGCAAATATTTTCAGTAAAATAAACATTTATTTGAGCTGCACAATTTGAAGAGGATGAAGTTGGAATATACCCGTAGACACTCATTCTTAATAAGCAGCTACCCTTGAAAAATGTACTATCATTCCTTTAGGTTTTGTATTATGGTTTATTAATATTTAAGTGAATAGGACTTCACTCGAATTTTTAAGTGGTGTGCTGAAATAATTTTTTCATAAGTTTAAGATTTCTTTTCCTGCTTATTTTGAAATGTCTTTCATTAGAACTATTTAAAATTAGATTTCAAGCTTTATGTGAGGACTTTGCTTAGTTACCACATAGTGTCAAGTCTGCCTTTACCAAAACACCAAACGTCTTTGGCAGGATAAAACCTAAAGTAAACCACAAAGAGAAGTTAAAATTGGTTCTATGCCAACAGAATAATACAGGTATAAAGTTTATCACTGCCAAATAAGATTCTTAAAATCTCTCTGGAGTTAACTTAAGGATTTCTTGAATTTCATAGAGAAAATAGTGGCTGATGGCTACCCTCAGAGAAAGAGAATAAGGATATTAGCGTGCTATTAAGACAATCCATAGTCCACAATGTTGTAGCAGTGAGGTACAGGGAAAATGTATGTTCCCTATTTAATGTCATGTGAAAACTGAGTTTTAGACTACAGTTACTCTGTCATAAAGTAAATGTACCCAAATTTATGTAGGTGGATCTTAGAAAAACAATATATGTTAGTATATTTTCTGTATAATGTAAAAAAAAGTCCTTTTTCTTAATTCGACATGACTTTTAGGTAATTTAAATTTATTTTAGTAGTGGGTTTTTAATCAATATTTTCGAGTAAGAAAAACATAATATTTACATGCTACAGATGGGTAGAAAGTAAAA